AAACAGATAAGCCACTCTCGCAAAAATTTATTTACGAATAGTAAATCATATTACTTGAATTCTTCATGAATATTGCTAAGAATGTATGATTAAGCAAGGTAGAAATATTTAGTTTCCTTTTTTGTTTTGTTTTGTTAGTTCAGTTATTCGCAAAATATTTCCAGCAGTTCATGGAACTTTAAAGACATAGGATGCACATAATAAATGGATCAGAGTGTATTATTGAATTGTTATTACTTGACCTTCGTTGATTCAGCAAAACAGATAATTTTAAAAGATATAGTATAAAGAAGATAAAAATAATAATGAAATTTTANATAAAATATGTTATCTAATTTTTAAATTTATCCATAGTTTTTATTTGTTTTATGTTATCATTTACATTGTAAAATTTTACAAATATTAGAATTAGAAAAATTTCAAAAACAAATTTTAACATCTGCTTTCTATCCATGATAAATAAAGAATTGATTAAGTTGTCCATAGTGGCAGAGTCGAGACTCTATCCCTTTTAATACTCGTATCACAGAGAAATGCTGATTGTAGATCTACTCAAATCTTCTTAAAACTTTATTATTTATATCTAAATTATCCCAAATTTAAACTAGTTTCTTAAAGTTTTTAAATCTATTTTATACTAAAGTTAGCTTCTCTATTTTCTGTTTGATGTTAAGTTTTAGAAAAAAAAAGCATCAAGGTCGAAAACCTTTTTCCGAATATTTTATGAACATTATAGATTTTAGAAAATATAGCAAAACCTCTGTGTAATGAGCAATTATATGGTTTAATGTATAATTAATTTATTTCATAATATATATTTTCTTTATACTCTCACTCATTTTTGCATAAAGTCATTCTATGTAATCAAAACTGCAAATGTCATGGCAAAAATAAGCATTACCGGAATAACTAATTCCTAAAAATAGAATATTCTATATCTGAAAGAGAATTTTTATATTAAGACTACAATAAATCTAAATGAAAACGTATTGTTGTAAACATATAACAGTTCTATTGCGTTATGTTTTATTTCCATATTTAACAATTTAAAGAATAAATTTCTGAGAACAAACAAATATATAAAGAATTTTTATGATTATTAAATACGATAAATTTGAGTTAAACATGACATACTGTATTTATATATTGAAACAACATTCATCTATTATAAATGTTTACAATGGGTGCGTTTCTTGGTAAAGCGACTTTAATAGAGCTGGAAAAGCAAACTAATAGCATAGCCTGTTTCAAATGAAACGGGCGATGCTATTGGTTTGTTTATTCAGCTATATTAAAGCCGCTCTACTGATGTAGGCCTACGTTTTTATAATTTGCAAGAAGAAAACTTCAGACTAGGGAAGTCACCCATCTTAAATATACCTAAGAAAAATAGACGACAGTGTTCATTTTTTAATCTGATGTTCCACATAAAATTTCCTGTAACAATTATAAAAACTGTTCATTATAAGTGTATAATGAATTCAAGTTTTTTTAAAATAATATTGTTAAAGTCTATAATAGTTAAAGCTTAATATATTTTATTATCTTAATTATTAACGTGATTTTATGATTTTTGTTTCAGATATGTATCACTTTCATCATACGAAGGTTTGAATGTTCATTAACATAACAGATTATTACAGCTATATTTAGAAAAAAATAAAATAAAGAATAAAATTTATAAAAATAGAATTGTACAAAGTGTAACATTCTGAAAATTTGAAATTCTTAACGGAATTTTCAGATAGGCCCTATTGTTAAATGTCTATAGAAAGATAGAAAAACCGGGCAAAAATATGATGCCAAATTAATTTTTCCTTCTTCAATTTAAGATACAGTAATTAAATCGAAAATTTGAAAAACTTTACGTCTATAATTTAAGTTATCAAATATATTTTATTTACTGCATGAATACGTATTACAATTTTAAAGTTGAAATAATAAACTGTAGGTAAATGTTTTTCACCAACCAACGATTTTAAACGTTCTTCAGTTACGATTAAATTTAATACTAATTTCAAAACTATCGATAAGGAATTTAAGCATGAAACAAATGCAAAAATAAAAAAAAATAAACTCTCCTTTTAACATAACATTGATATACTAAAACTAATTAAAATACATTTTTACATAAAGATTCACATTGACCAAGCATGACAAAGTTATTAAGTAACCATTTTAGTCTATCTGTAACGTAAAAACAATACTATTTCAATTATATTTGTGGAAATAATTATTTACAGCTACACAAACTGATAATAATTATTTTTTAAAGCTATCTTTCAGACAAAACTTTATTAGATAACTCAATTACATATCCATTGGAACGTTTCACCATTATCTTCAATAAAGCGAAAACTTCATTATTTTTCTCATTTTTAAATTGATGCATCTGTCAAATTACTGCGATAAATAGCAATTATAAAAAATAATAAAATTTAGAAATTTCTTACTTTAATTGTTTTAAAAAATTTTCCAAGACATTCAAATGTAAAAATATTATTCAAAAAATGTTTTTGCACCTGCTGAAAGCTTAATTTTTGTTCTACATAAATACAGTATATCTATTAAAACATTATAATTTGAACATATTATAATTATTTAATGTAGGACAAAAGATTGACCTCATTATTTGAAGCAATTTTAATCATTTTTATGGAGATAAAATCAGTAAGTGCTATTCTGTCGTGACTGGCAATTTTATCGACTAAATAGAAAATAATAATAAAAATAATAATAATGATCACACAATAAGATTTTGTTTTCTTGTCATTTAACACTTTCTTTTAAAATATAACTAAAATAAATTACTTTCGTTGGTTCGTAACTGTTATAAATAATCTAATATGTAAGAAGTAAAATTTGAAAATAATTACTTAAAATATAAAATACAAATAGCATTTCAGCTGGAAATTGATAATATAATTTCATAATAAAATTTTATACTGTATTAATGGAGTTTCTTTATTAATACTGTCGAAAACCTGAGTTAATAAATTTGCATATTTATAAATGCATTATAATATAATACGAAAAATTATATTAATCATTTGTCTAGTATATATATCATTTGAAAATTTTATTGCAAGTAAAATAGAGCCCAGTATTGTAAGATGATTATTGATCATGGGGGATTAAAATATGCTGTATAACTTAAATTTCTGAAATTTTTCTCTGGTGAATACAACAATTTCCTATATGCTTGAGGAGGATTTCAGTGGGAATATTTGTTTTTTCGTTTTTTTATAAATAAATCGGCCGAATACCGTGAATATATATTTTATTAAATATTTAAAAATAACTAAAAATATTATTTTAAAAATGGTATAAAACGAGTAAGAGCTATCTTAGATTCTTAGGTTGTCATTGAAGGATATGTGGTAGATCATTAGATAGATTGGAAGAAAGTAAATGACACAGTGGATGTATCACTCTTGTTCTGATAATAATAAATAAATGATATTTTTATGATCAATCCCGAAAAAGTTCTTATTTTTACTCAGATGGTTGATCATTCTTTGTTCTGATATACAAATTTTTCTTGTAAAGAATTTCAAAAATCGGCTTATATAATATTATCTAAGAACATCTAAGAAACTTTTAAGGAACGATAAAAAATTAACATAATATAAATATTCAATCTTTACAAGTATTATTTTATAACAAGAAAGACCGCCTACATTTTCAATCTACTTTTATTTTTGTATTTTTAATATATCTATAAAAATCGGTCCGGAAAAAATTTTACGTTCAAAAAGAGAACGTATGAACCAGGGGCGTATGGGACCCTCGGAAAAGGAAAATTTCTAGAGGCGCCAGTAGGACAGGACGTCGAGCCGAGTAATCTAAATTTTTATTATAAAATTACAATTAAAACTTGTTCCACCAGTGTTCGAATAAATAATATTATTGAACACTAGTAGTTAGTCGACGGTTCACGCCTGACCAACGGGCTACTTACGTGGAATTTTTTGAGTTTTCTTCACGTATCTAACTCCTAAAAAGGAACCAATTGTCCATATAAGGTTCCTCTGCCAAAGAGGATGCTTCTCGAGGACGAGAAGCATCCTCTTTGGCAGATCGTCCATATGTTGCGTTGCCTTACTTCATTAATCCAATCCAATTAACACAATACACGAATCGAACTTACAACATACATAAGTACGTACTTTCTGGATGTACACCAGTGGCACACCCAGAAATTTTGTTGGGGCTTACCTCATATTGTCCTTTATCTATAATTATTATTATTAACTGGGATGCCACAACGACAATTCAGCGGTGCGGAAAATGGACTGATGGAAGAAGACAACACAACAATCGGGCGATCTGACAAAGAGGAATGCAGCCCATAACTATTTAGGTTTTAGACGTGCAAAGAAAACCCGGAAAATCCACTTGGCTAGCCTGTTGATGAGACGTAAACCCGCAACCAATTATCAGTATTCAGTGGTTTTATCCACTCGGCCACTGGTGGGCCTCGGTGTCGCCATATACTACCGAGCAGTGATATAAGCTTCTTATGTGTAATATTAAAAGTAATAAAAGCGCTGTGACTTTACATTGATAAAGAAGTAGGGATGCCGCAAGAAAAAATTATCAAGATGGGGTGCCACGATTAGAAACAGGTTGAAAAAACCGCCCTGGCTTATATTGAGTAGTCCAACTCATCTCGATTTCTTCAAAATTCGAATGGCCGATTTTCCCTGCTCGTGTATTATTTAAATTTAATAAATTTTCAACAAACCGATATTTATTATATAATATAATCAAAGATATTTAACTCTATCGCATAATAAAAATTCGTTTATTTCGTTCTCATTTTTAAAGCCATTATCTGGCAAGCCTAATAATATACATAATATACTAAGGAATTTCTTTAAAATTAAAACTTAAAGTTTAATAAATTAAAATAATATTTATTGTTTTCAAAAATTTAAATTAATTATAAATTTAACTGTAAAAATTGTAATAGAATTATATGAATTGAGAGTTTTGGGCTGATATGTTCGAATTTTCAAAACTTTTTAATTGATGTATTTTGTTGAGGATTGTGTTCTATTCGGCGAAATGAATGGTAAACTTCAATATTTTCTTAATCAAATAAGGAAATTTACTTTTAAAACGTTATCAGATAGAAATGAAATCAAGCCATTACTTAAGGAAGAATTTGACAATTATCCGCAAATTAATAACGAAAAACAACACTTTACATTCGATCATCGTATTAATGGAGAAGAAAGCGTACGAATGGAAGATGAAGGAAGAAAATTTTCTAATTTTGAGAAAAGAAATGCTCGTAAAAAAGAAAATTTTGATTTGGGCATTAATTCAAGTAAAGAATCAAAAACTACGGTTATGTCCGAAATTGATTCGACTGATATTAGCAATAAAACAGACGTAAGCTTTGAGTTTGAGGCAAGTTTTACATTCCTTAGCAAGATTCTATTTAAAATAAATTTCAAATTATTATGAAATTTTTCTTTTGCCGGTATATTTATGTTCAACATAATAGCTATACTACGTCTATGCTAATTTTATAATTGAGATTTTTCATAAAAATAATAAGAAAATCAATTTATGTTCGATTTACACAAAATATGTTGTTTACAAAATTATTTATGATATAAAAAAAGCATAAAAAATTTATTTTTGAAAATATTATTCGCTTATATTGAATTAATTTGGATAGTACATATGACTATTTGCTAATAAATATTGATTTCAAAATTCATGCGGTAAAATAGAAGTATAATCAAATCAATATAATTACAGTAGAATTTACGCGTATGTATGTGCATGTAATCACATATGATTCTAGTTACATGTTTTCCAACATGTTTACAATGTGAAGCCAGTATCATAAAAGTAGAGAAATAAAATTTTATTTTTCAAAAATTATCTTCAAATCTTCGGATTCGTGAAATTATGATTAATTTATGATGAAATTAATCGTCAATGAAATCAGTTGTTTTCATTCCACATTGAGTGAACTCTGATTATTATTAGTATTTATTAAAAAATATTGACTTCATCTATGATCTAGAGATTTATAATTTTTATGTTTATAATAGATTCATGATTAGCTTTAAGTTAAATTATTTGTTATGTTCATTAAATAAATACTTTTAGAATATAGAAATGTTCATAAAATATTATTCAATATTTTGCAAAGTCTTTATTGTCCATTGAATTATGTATATTTATTTAAACTTGATATGGAATTTACGAAATAACGAAGTTATGTAATTATTTTGTGATTTTATTTTTAAATGTATCAGATATATACAGTGTTTGCAGGTTTGCCTGATGTCCCGGTTTTCTGGGATTGTCCCGTATTTTTTCCGACTGCTATCTAGTGACAGGAAGAATTTATTCTAAACGCTGTTCCTAGAAGTAATATTCTTTTTCTGACATTTTAAATGTATTCTGTCACTGGCAGAATAAAATACACATGTATTGCTTCTCTTGAAATTGAAGCGTCCCAATATTTTTCAGGAAGAACCCAGTTTTACTTTCCCAGCTCTGTTATATATAACAAAAGGAAAGCATGGCGATCGGTCATGAGTTTTACATTTTTGGACTTAGGACACCTTGAAAGAAATAAGAAAAAATTCGAGGGCAATTTCTGTATGTATAGATGTTAGTGTGTGTATGTATGGCACGATTTTGTTCATCCTGTTTGAAGATTAATAACTTCTGTCCTTTTTGTCGAAAATTTCTGAAATTTTGTAGGGTGGTTTGTTTATTAGGGGGATTAATGCTATTGAATTTTTTGGTTAATTTAAAGGTCGAAGGATTGGGAGATAGTGGAGATCGTGTGTATCTCCAGTAGTGTCGGACTTAATAACGATTTTACTCGTTATTAGGTCATTTATAATTTTTTATAAAAGCCATCCGTACCCTCAAATGAAGCCTTTTGCCATTTTATAATAGTTAAAAATGTAAAAAGTTTTTAAAATAAAATATCATAACAAATGGTGCCACATTCTCAGTTTTAAATGTTGCCGGAAAAGTTAATCAACTTGTTGCTGAATTTTTTTCCCAGATTTTATCCCCATGTATCTGCAACTTCTATGTAAAAATATATGCACATGAAATGTATAAAAAATATTCATAAATGCTCGTATTTATTTGATACATTTATATTTTACGTAAAGATTTTTTTATAAAGATGTTCATTCGTTAATTGCTTTCTCAATATAGCGTTTCGAACATGGAAATGAGTGTTCGTCTTTTTTCACGTAGACTTTATTCTAAGCCTATGACATGATAGTTAAAAACTTCAGTGATGCTGCTTTCGCTATTGCATTGTATCGTAATTATTAAGCTATTATTTTTTTTCTATATATAATTCTATTTTTTAAATTTTATAAATAGCTTAAATTAGTTTCCCAACTGTAATGTTTTAATTGATTTTATACTCGTACAATGTTAGATTTTATCGATAAAGTTACTTCCGTAATTTTTCTTTTTTAGAGATGGGCAAGCATCTCTTTTCTTGAATTAGAATATTAAGCAGAATTCGAATATTTGAATACTTCGAATTCTAGAATAATTAATGAACTTAATTATCTTAATAAATTATTAATCAAAGAAATCTATACTAATATTATAAAGAGGTAATGTTTGTATGTAAGTAAGTTTGGATGCAGCAGGTAATCTCCAAAACTACTCATCCGATTTCAAAAATTTTTTCACCAATATTTAGAATGGAACTTCAGGGTGGACATAGGCTGTATATTATTCCGTTAAACATGGGGGATGGACAGTTCTTTACGGTAAGCCTTACGGGGAAGGCTTACCGTAAAGAACTCTGCTTCTATTTATACTATTTTAGATGCGGTTTTTTGCATTTTTGATTGCATTTTAATAGGGTACGTCAACAGAATGTACACTAAGAAGGNATTATTCTATTAAAAGTGCTGCCTTAATTATTAATAGTTATCAATGAAAACGCAAAATTTCTATTTTAATAATTTATTCAGTGAAAGTTATGTTAATTAATCAGACGATATATTATATTGAATTATTTTTTATAGTTTCACATACTTTTAAATATCTATAAGAAACAATCTTTTGATTTTTGACTTGAAAACTTTAAAATATAAGCATTTATATTCCAAATATTTCAATGCTAGCGCTAGTGGCGAAATATATTTTGTCAGTATTTTTTATTACCTGATTTTTTATTTATGTAAAAACTGAAAGTAACACCAATGTATACATTTATAATAGATACATTTTGAGCCACAACAAGGCGTGGCGGGGTCTGCTAGTTATATAATATTTATTAACTTGTTCTATTTATTTTAATTTGTTAATAAATTAATAAAGTAAAAGAAAAACAATTTACTAAATTTTAAGAAATGGCACTTCAATTTATTTTACAGTAAAGTTTTACAGTAGCTTTTTTACCTTTCTACAATAAATTAACAAATAGTTGTTCTCATTCTCATCATACTGCAGAATTTTATTTGGCACCGAGAAAGAAATGTGACAGAGTTACATCAAGCTGATATTACATATGACATCATGTATTCAAAAGGTTTTTGCTAAGAAGGATGGCAGAGTTTTATGTATAAAGTATTCGTACAGTTTTCCTGTCGGACTGGGAGAATGTGAGGTTTGAACAATTGGCCATCAATAACAACATACAATATCTTAATCTCAAAACGCTGTCAAAGTTTACCGCTATAGCATGCGGGTTTTCTCGAATCCAAATATGTGTATTTCTGGTGTTGGTGATCCAGTTCCTTGTAAATTTCTCTTTGTTTGTAAACAAGATGTAGGCTACCTGTTTAAATGCGGATGTTGTCATTCGGGTATATGCTTATATAATCTTTATAACTTGTTTTCCAATAAGGAATCTATTCTTACAGTTTTGACTATGTCGTGAAACGTCCTGTAAACTTATTTAGATCTATTGAATAAAATTAATCGTAAAACTTGTAATGGCGACTTATTGAAGAATAGCATATTCTGAAAACAATCGCATTGCTATTTAATCATCATGGATTGATTTCAAATTTCTATATTATACGTCTCTTGTATCAAGTTTAACTAATCCAAAAGGACTAATTAAACTTGAATAGCTTAATATTAACATTTGAGTAATTATACAATAGTAATATTTTCATAAATATGGTAATGGTCCTATGAACAAATTTATATGATAGACTGCTAAAATAACTTAAATTATATTTTCACATCAATCAATATATTTGGCATTCATATTTTAGTAAAGTACAGTAAATTGAAGCTAAATACATCAATGAGTTCATCATATTTTTCGTTTTTTTTTAAAAATATTAATATAAAAAATTTTCTCGACTGGTCATAAAAATAATTAGATGAGTCATATGTTTAAAGCCACATAATGTTTAAAGTTAATTTATTAATATTGATAAAAGAAAAATATTTTTCTCTGATTATTATCTTTATTCTTCATATTTAGGCCTATAAACAAGTATTTATGATAAATATTTATCATAAGTAGATCATAATAGAAATCAGTAAAATCTAAGAACATTTCTTCATACCCTTTCTTGTAAAGAAATCCTAATCAATACGACAATAGAAAAAAAAAATTAATAAAATATTTTAATTTTCTAGAAATATGATTTTTAAATCTAAAATATCTGATAAATTCTAAAAGATATTATTTCTACAATTCACTATTAATCAGTCATTTGTAAAATTGAACTGACTTTTATAAACGGTCAGATATTTTATATACAAAATTTAAAATAAATGTTCCATTTACCTTGTTGTGCATTCGCTCATTAACATGAGTACTACTATACAGTACATTTCGCATCTTTTCCTTTTGATTGGAATTTATTGAGAAATTATGAAAAAAAAACAGTTTAGGTCGAAAGTGATCTGAAGTATTAGAGCACAGCAACCATGTTTTCATGCTGACCCTCTTTTAGACTATTGTTTGCTTAAGTATTTTCATTTATTATTATCAATAAATTAATAATAATAGATTTAGCAAAACAAGGCAAATTTATCTCTTTTAACTATGAAATAGCAATGTGTCACTATCTAACGTTAAATATATGCAAAATAAAAACTTCAATTGTTTTATTTTCTCGGCTTATGTAAAAGAGGGAAAGTATGGCTATCGATCGAAAATGACCCCCCCCCAAAATCTTTACATTTTTCGACTCGGTGATATTGAAACGTTGAGAAATGTAAAAAGAAGTTGGGGGTTTCTCTTGTATGTATGGATGTTTGTGTATGTGGGTGGGAGCACGACTTTATTCACCCACTTTTGAAGCTTAATAACTCCTGTGTCTTTTGTCGAAAATTTCTGAAATTTTTCATGTAGGTTTGTGTTTTGAAGATTGAAACGATATTAAATTCTGGTGGTTAAAGCTCAAAGAGGCGGAGAGATAGAGAGATCATGTGTCATATCTCCAATTGTATCGCACTTAATAGAGATTTCAATTAATAATAATAGAAAATTTTTAAATAAAAGTTCATAACAAATGACGTCATACACAATTTCAACTCTTAGCAGGAAAGTTACGCAACTAGTTGCTAGATTTTTCTGGTTAACAGCATTTACTCTTTTCACTAAAACGGAATTGCTCATCAAATTAAATGACAAATTGAAAAGTAAGAATTAAAGTGTTAAATGTTTAGCGCATCAAATATAATTTAATTCAAGGAAAATGGCTTGAATGGAAACGCCATTAGAATGATTTTCTAGTATTCTTTTTAAAACTTACTATGACATACATTTGTAGAATAAGAAATAGAAAAATTAACATGAGATTATAAAAGAAAGAGATTGATATAGCTCAGCTAAGAGAGATATCAATCTCTCTTAGAGAATGAGAAGCTATCAGAAAAGTACATGAAATTTTAACAACAGATTCAAAAAAGTCATTCTTTAGTAAAACTACGAGTTTAAGCACGATTAAAATATGTTTGCATCATAAGATAAAAAATATTTTTTTTTTGTTAGACTTACAGTAGAAAAACAAGGAAAAAACAAGTCGATACCGTTCATTTATTTACTAATGAAGCAGGACGACGATTAATTGGTTAGAAACTTATCGGGCTATTCTCTAATAAATTTGATGAAGACTTAATATCCGATGAAGATTTAATTGTTAGTTTTCAAAATCTAATTTCCAATGAAAAGTCTCATATTTCAAAAATTTCTGCGAATTTAAATTCGCTTATTCTCCTATATCAATACTAATCGAAATATTTTAATATTATTTGCTGTCTATTTACGGAAGTTTTCGTTATGTAAATGGTTTCTTTTTAAATGTTTCTTACATATTAAATAAAAGCTTAATTCTAAACTTTGAAAATTTAGAATTAGGTTTAGAATTAAATCAAATCTGAACTGGCTTATTTTACATAAAATAATAAAATGTATTATTTAAATCTGTAGAATATGAATCAAGAAGCTAACATTCTTTATGAACGAAATCAAAATAAATTCCCTTCGGGTAAGTATATGATTATCTATAATCTATTATAATTTATTTAGAACATTTTAAAATTGTAATTTTATAAATGTGAATCTTAAATAAAGGATTTGACTTAACTTGTTAACAAGAATGCCGAGAGAAAGTGGATATACGGCTGGTTTCAATGTCAGTTAGACAGGAATTTGATCCGCAAATTATGTCTTCAATTCGCTGGCTAATCTTATTGTGTTAAATTTATGCATATAAAATATTGCTGCAAAACTAATATCACGAAAGTATTATGTGAAGAAATGTGTTGATAGAAAAACAAGATAAAAAATAAAGTAAAAACGAAATTTGTCATAAAAAGTTTGAAACATAGAAATGCATTAAAAGTTTATTTAAGATATTAACTATAACTACTATACTGTCATTCCCTAAAGGGGTGGCCAAGAAAAAAGTGTCTTTCCTGTGCATAACACCCTGCAAGCTTCAGTCCTCCGAGGAACATCATATGGACAGGACATAGCATACCAAGAACACACCCAACTTTCACACAATCTTGACAATCTTGCGCCATTTCTGTCTATCCGTACGTGCCTCTTTTGCTTCTTTCACATTTATGACTTTTTTCAGACAGTCGGCGCCTTCTTTCACTTAGAATCTGTTTCTCTTTCAGATACTCTTCCACTTGCTCAGCCCATCTTTTCTTCGGTCTTCAATGCCCTCTCTTTTCCTCCATATTTTTCCACATACAACTTCATACACACCTTATACATTCTCTCTACGTGGCCAAACCAACGCAGACATCTTTGACGTACTCGTTCAATCGCATTCTCTTTCACATCGCACTACACAACACATCCTCGTTACTCTCCAGATCTCTTCTTGTCACACTACATATACACCTCAGATATTTCATCTCAGCTGCAATCACTCTGCTCTCATGCTTCGTTCTCCACATCCATGCCTCACAACCATACAATAGAGTTGGAGGATCACACCCTTGTACACAGTCATATCTGCCTTCTTCGGAAACATATTCTTACGAACCAATCGTGCTGTGCCCCCATCCACTTTCATACAAGCATTCCCTCGTCTTCCAATCTCCCTATTTATTTTGCCATTTCTCCCCAAGATGCTCCCTAACCTGCTTTATTGTCACGGCATTCAACTGTAACTTGCACTCACTCATTTGTACTTCTTTCATAAAACGTAAAGCATATTTATAGGCTTATATGCTTAAAACGTAAAGTATATTTATAGGCCTATATGCTTAAAAAACATTATGTACGGATTAATATCATATTTACATTGTAATAAAATGTACAGTACTTATAGCTCTAGAGGAGAAAAATGTCTGACTGCTCTATTCACAACCAACGATCAAGAGTTAGAAATTAACCAACTACCATTCACCTTATTTTTAGTACGTGAATTAGTTAACTTTCAACTCTAACTCTTGATCCTTACTTGTGAATACGGTCATGAGTATGAATCCTCAAATTCGACTGGATCATCATCTGTCTTTGGATTCGTTCCAGGTTTGTTTAATTATTGTACGATATATCGGCCTAATTATTGCTAATAAAACTGCAGCAACGCTGCATTAATTCCTCTTTTTAATAAACAACTCCATTCCAAATTATGATCAAGTCGTTTAACTTCTACCGATAATCTACCAATCTCATCTAGAATTTCCTACAGGTCGTCGGTTTCTATGGACCTGTATAAAACGAAATATTTCTTGTACTTATCACTATTATTTCTGAATCACTTCTGTAGCTTGATCTTCCAATTTCTTATTTATTATCCAATTGATTGTCACAAGTAACGAGGGAATTTTAGAGAATTTCCAATCATGATATTATCTTGAAAAAATTTTAAAATATATAAAACGGTGTTAACAACGTTATAGATGCGCAACCAAAATCCGCCTTAAATAAATAGCGGATTTATAGTCCGATTATTTAAAACAGTGATTCTTAACCAGTGTTCCGCAAACCTACCTCAAGTGTTCCACGAAAGAAAAGATTTTAAAGTATTTATTCAAATTTATTCCTATTGTAGATAATTTCATGTTTCAATTTTTACTCAATATATTAAAGTTTATTAGTTTATTGATTCATTATTTTCCGAGAATAGTAAACATGGAATTGCTTATCAATTTTTGAATATATTGATGCTAATGCTCCGTGTAATAAAATGTGTATGAATAGTGTTCCGCGGTCTCAGAAAAGTTGAGAACCACTGATTTAAAGCGATTGTTTATGTATCTACTAGCAGAAGAGCCCGGCGTTGCTCGGAAAAAATAACAACAAACATTAAGAATACTAGATTCTTTCGTACTATAAGTACTGTACTAAAGAATTTGAATAAGTATTTGATTTATATTACTACGAATGTTACCTCTAAGAAATTGTTCCATTCACAGCCGAATATCAAATGGTCATCTGACAACGAATGAAACTTCTTGAAAAACGGACTAAATATTTAAATTCAGCACCGTCGAAAACCACTTAAATCATATTTTGTGCAAGCCGGTAATCAGTATCTTGGATTTTCCAATTCCAAAATCCACCATACCGCTGGTTCGATAGAAAGAAGGGACCGTTGCGGAAGATGGTCGAAGTAATTCGAGCAAAAGTACTCGTTGACCTCCTCCTAGAAGAGAGGATGATCAATCCCTACTAATTAATGCTAGTCTACTATTAATATTTGAAAAATGATCTGTGTTAGATAGGTTGTGATGGCTCTGCACGTGATGAAAGTTGCTAACCTTAACGCCCAAAAGACTTGATATAAAACTTGTTTAAATAAAAAAATCATAATAAAACTGTGAAAATAATTGCTTTTAAATTATACGTACTCAAAAACACCTTCTCTCACTGAGAATTATTTATTAACAGTAACGAACGTTTGCAACCTTTAACCAACTTTTTTTATCTGTTTTATTATTTTGTTATTTTAGATGTTTATATACTTCAGGATATACGTTGTTTCGGGATGTTTGATATATGTATACTATAATTTCAGTTTAGTATACAACAAAATATCATCTATAATTCATAACTATAAAAAAATTAATATAAAGTTATTCCGCATTTGATGATACGTTTAAACACTTCCTTGATATCATAATACGTATTCAATTATTTGTTGTGGATCTAGAAAAAGAAGTAGAAAATGTTTAAGATTTTTAGAAAATAGATTTTTAGAAGAAGTAGAAAATGTTTAAGATTTAAGTTAAAGATTTTTCATTTTCTACTTCTTAATATACATTTTATATAATTTATTAGTTTTGTATGACTTTTACATTTTACAATAACGAAATTTATATTATCGTTGATGATTTTTATCAATCTTTATTTTATAAACTTAAAGAGAAAGATGAAGTGACCAAAATTTTATGAACAAAGCAAGCAATTTATATTTATGATAGATAACATCTCTAAGGTAACTTTCTTCAATTGCAATGCATTGTCTTAACTTTAAACAATCCACAAAATTATCAAAACTCGATGCCGCAGATCAAGATGACGATGTACGATAATTTCAGTTTAAAAAGCATACTTCATCTTCAACACAAACTATGCCTTTGTAAGGTGCAACTTGATATCTTATAAGATCAGATTCGAAAAATCTAGGATACAAGATTAGAGCCAACATGATCGACGTGAACCATATTCAGAAAATTCCCTTACTGTCCGAATATTTTCTTTGTTGCGAACTTAAGTATCCAGCTCAAAATTACGTTGCGTTTTGAATTGGTCAAAAAAATGTTAAATTACCATCTCAAGCGATGTCTACAACAGATTATATTTTGGAATAAAAAACTACAATCTGAAGTTTATGTTACACTCCATTGTAAATGAACATTTTTAAATGGCTTCAATGAAATTCTTTGACTCGTCATGTATCAACTCTTTTTCCTCCTCATTTTCATATAGATTAGCGTCCTGAAATGTGTCAGTCGACTTTGCGCTATCCAATTCAGTAACTGTTTTTGTGATGTTATTCTTTTTTATGTATAATTTCGTAGTATATCATTTGCAATCTGTTAAGTTTGCTGATTACAATTGGGTATGATCTGTCGGTAAAATTGAAACTGGTCATATGACTCTTTCGCGCAATAATCAAAATTCAAAATATTATATATTAATAAATATTACTTTATAATGTTACTAGCAATTACACTATTTTAAATATAGTTTTCAACTATTTTATTTAATTTAAAAAAATTAATATACAAGTATATCAATTTTATTAGATATGAATTCCAAAATATTAGAAGATCTTTCTTCAGAAGTGTATTTATCAGGAGATATATTACATATAAATAATGATGATGTACTTGAGATAAAACATGAAATAAACAACATACGAAATATATCATATTTTACAATGATAAAATTATTATGTTCTATGTTAAACACCTCTAAACATAGTATTGTATACTTTGGTTTAAATAGTAATTTTACTATCAAAGGAATTTCTGCCACTCGTGCAGAAAGAGATGGATTTAGATGCGGAATAAATAATATAATGACTAATAAAATAGAGCCTAAATTGTCACATACTAATTATAAAATAAATTTTATTCCGGTGCTCAGAACACAAGACGTTTGCATTTCATTTAATGAAGAAAATTTAAAATATGTAATCGAAGTGCATATATATCCCGTACGAAATACTATGTATAAAACAGAAGAGGGAGAATATTATTTGAGAAAAGATGGCGTAACTATTTGCGCCAACAAGTGTGGCATTCGACAGTGGGTTGGATAAGAGAAATGATATTAGCAACAAATGTACGCTTTGCAAAATGCTGTCGAAACTCTTGAAACATTAATTTAATTTTTGTTATTCGTTTCTCAATAAATTATTTTTCAATGTTATTTAAATTTTAATTACACTTTTTAAAGAATTTGTTAATGTTATGATATCNATCTATATCTATTCTTTAAATTCTTTCTAAATAAAGAAAAATTATAAATTCTTTCGTATTTCATTTTATTTGAAATTTAAGCTATTTGATAACGTGCATTAAATAATATCAAACATATTTAATGCATGCTACCAAATGGCTTAAGCTATGTACTTTATTGTTATTTATTTTCAAGGAAATTACGGATTTTATTTTTTGAAGCATTTTTTTAAATCACAGAAGAAAATAACTTATTTTTGAAATCGGTAGTAATAAAACATATTGCAAAATAAAATAAATCAACGATATTTCAAAATTTTGTTATTTAATATTTGGAAAAGATAAAAATGAAAGATTCAATTGTTGTATAAAAATTTTAATTAAAACGCATCAATAAAAACCTTACTTTATAACTTTCATACAAAATTTTACTAAGCTTATGATAGACCTATAAATACAACATAAATAAAATATTTAAAAAGTTTTATGATAAAGTCATCTTATTAATCAAGTTATTCATGCGAATTTATTATTATCATCATTAATTTATGTAAACTTTATTTTAAAAGCTTGAAAAATTCAAATTAATTCGAATAATGTATTATTATAACATTCTTCATACAGTATATTCGTCTACCCAAGCACACTTTATCCAATACAATGGAATTTATTTTATAATTATTCAACTTTTTAAAATCTCTTTTTCTACAGATAAAACGGAAGAGTTGAACTTAAGAGCTGCCATGGTTCCATTATTCTTAAATAAGTAGACGAATATAATTAGAATTAACAACATATCTTTTCTGTTCCCATAGACTTTTAGCAGAATCCCTTATTGAAAGATAAAAGTTTTATGTGAAGTAATTATAAATAAAGTTTATACTCTTTAATAACTAAATATTTAATTTTAAACATTGCAATTAATTTATTCTGTATAATAAAATTAAATGTATGTCTATAAATATTATTTCAAAGATAAACAAGTAGAAAAATGCGACTAATTTGAAATCCAAATTTTATATTTCAGTATAATTTTTATATTGTTTCTTCAGCATTATATGGATATTTAAAATTTAGAATTTCAAATCTTCAAAAAATATATATGTAATATAATGTCGATATAGCGACATATAAGAAGTTTGTTTTTTATGTTAAAGTTTTTGTTTGAAATTCGTCCTTGTTAGAAATAATTTAAGGAGGAAAAAGTTTTTGAATTGTATTCGTTTAAAGTAAACAAGTATAATTTCGAAGAATATTAAAAGAAAACATTAAATCAAACATTTTTATGCCGTCATACCCCAATTACATTATATTACATGTATATTTCCAAGCTTTTAATAACTTTTTTCCCTTAGTTAACATCGATATTATAAAAACTTTTAAAATTAAATTAAGTTTAATTCAAACATTTAATATTGATAATTTAATGTAATAGGCTTTTGTGGGTGCGATATTATATATCAAAGTTACAGAAAATATTGTTAAGATAAAATTGCAAGAATGGTTTTCATTTTGGTTTGTATGAAGAGTATTGTGGACACTCCATTAAGTTTTTTATCTTGTCTGTTACCTTTATGTAGATTTTTTTTATTCGATTCATATGTCAGTGTTATGTAATTTTCCATTTAGGAATCCATTAGCCTACTATTAAGATTAAATCTTATTTATTATANATATACAATTTTTAATTAAAATAACGATTACTTTTGATTTTACAAATATAGCTTTGTAAAATCTAGTTTTCTCTTTAGTGTTCCATTTTTTAAAATAATGTTTCGTAATAGTTAGTATCTTGATATTTACAAAAGAACCACGTACAATTCCAATACATCATAAATTTCATAAAGTATTATGTTTCGTGTTAGTAGGAATGTATGATAACAATTCGATTATGAAGTGCATTCGTGCATTACGATGTATAATTATGTAAGAGTGTTAAAAATGTTCCTTGCCTACCACTTTCTTAAAAATTCGATTAATAAAATTTATATCGTGATGGTTTGTACTTTATAATCTATTTTTGCATATAAATCTTTAATTTTTAATTTGAACACGAAAGGAAACGTTGTTCTATTATTAGATTTTTTTCTT